TTCCTTCCTTCCTTCCTTCCTTCCTTCCTTCCTTCCTTCCTTCCTTCCTTCCTTCTTCCTTTTCTTTATCTCCCTTCCTTCCCCTCTCTCTTTCTTTCTATCTCCCTCTTTCTTCCTTTCTTTTTTAATTTTTACCTCTCTCTTTTTTATTGAGCTCTACATTTTTCTCTGTTCCCCTCTGTACCTCTCCCCTCTCCCCTTCCCCCAAGGTCCCCATGATCTTTCTCTCTGGCAAGCTGACTTATTAGGCAGTAGTGACCCATTCCATCAGTGACATATAAGTAGGATTGTTTCTCCAACACTGGTAATTGTTTATGCTCAGTCTGTGCAGTCAGTAGATGCTGGGAATGGTAGTATTGAATTATTTCTGATTGACTTATGATCTGTAATACTTTCATAGAAAGAGAGCTGTCCTTCCTCAGTGATTTCCAGTCACCACAGAAAAAGCAGAAGAAGCTTCTGGTGCTTTCTCCTAATTTTCAAGCTTTCAAAATAATGAGTCACTCCACAAACATTCTCCAAGCATCATCAGCCAGGTTTGGAGGTGTTCAGTATTATTACAAATTCCTATACTTCACCCCCCCGCCCCGTCTCCTTCAGAGATCCCTGGCTTTTTTTTTTTTTTTAGAAGTCAGCTGGGCATAAAGAAGAGCCCATAGCGTCTGAGTTGATTACACCAGGCCATTCTTACTTGACAATGTCTAAGGCAGACATGTGACTGGTGCAGACCATAGACCTATACCAGCAGGAAGTTCACAGGAGGCTTCTGAAGAGACACCCACCACTCACTGTGAGGAGCTACCATGGAAGAACGAAATGGTCCAGTGACACATGTGATGCCTATGTGTGGTGTGGAGCAATTGTCAATATTCTGTCAATTATATTTTAAATACACGCTGATTGGTCAGTAGCCAGGCAGGAAGTATAGGCAGGACAACCAGATAGGAAGTAGAGGCGGGTAAATGAGGACAGGAGAATTCTGGGAAGAGAAAAGCTTGGTACACAGTCCTGACCCCTGCCACAGGAGTAGCAAGATGTGACTGCCTTGCTGAATAAGGTACCAAGCCATGTGACTAACATAGACAAGAATAATGGGCTAATATAAGTTATAAGAGTTAATAAGAAACCTGAGCTAGTGGGCCAATCAGTTTATAACTAATGTAGAATTCTGTGTGATTTCATTGGGACTTA